ACTGTTGACCTCTTTCGACAAAAGCCAAACTGGCTGGAACCGATAATTTTATGGCTCTCAACAAACGAGTAAAACTGACGGCTAATCATAGACTCATACAATTTGGCAACTGCATTTAACAGCGATATAGGACGGTAATTGACTTGGTGAGAAGGATTACCTTTTCCCTTGAACACAGGTACAACAACGGCAGATTTCCACTCCCTGGGCTGAGTACTGGACAGCAAGCAGCGGTTGAAAAGGGCGGAAAGAGACTGTGACGTGACCTCAGCTGTTTCACGGAGGATGCGATTGTTCAGCAGTCCAGCGGTTTTACGTTGAATGGGAAGTCTGGATAGCGTGTCAAATACGGACTGCACAGAGAATGGTTGTATGGAGAACTTCACAGTTGACGTGGGTGTTAAAATACCAGCAGAGTGCAGGTCAGGTGTTAGCAGTGGCGCCTGGCTGTAGCTCGCAAACACTTTGGCTAGGAGATTCGTCTTTTCCGTATTACTCGTGGCTGGGTAGGCTTGGTTGTCATGGTAGAGGTCAGGGATAACCGGAGACGGGCGATTCACATTACAAAGGATCTTTGCTTTGCGCCACCATGTACGAGTTCCATGATGCTGAGCCATGTCTCTCGCCATCCTCTCGTGATAATGGCGTTTCGCCTTCCGGAGCAAGGAAGTAAGACAGTTACGTGAGAGTCTATACGCTATCCAACTATCTGTAGATTCGAGACGTTTGGCCTTGGCGAAGAGGCGATCCCGAAGCCGCCTCTGACGATGGTGAACAGCAGAGTACCAAGGCTTGTTCAATGGAAATGTGCTTCTCCGGACAACGGGAACAAACAACGATACAGAGTCTTCCAGCGCTGTGCGCCACAATGACCAGGCCTCATCAACTGTTTGCGCATTTTGGACGGCATCTAGCAAGGGTAGTTGCCACACGTGGTTGTTAAATGCTTGCCAGTCCGTGTGGGCAAAGTCGAGCCAGGTGTTTTGTGCAGAAGATATTTGGGCTGTGGAGCCCGCTGATCGGTTGTGGACGACATCGAAAACTACAGGACAGTGATCAGATACCGGTGGGAGGATGGTGAGATGGGGGACTGCTATTGGAGCATTAGTGATAACTAGGTCGAGTAGTGATGAACTCTTACCTCTTGCGGAGTAGCGGGTAGGCTGTTGATCCACAAGTTGCGATAAGCCCAGATCATCCAGGGTGTCATACATGCATGTACCAGCCGGTGTATCAGGATCGGATGCTAGCCATTTCGAGAGGCGAGCGTTAAAGTCGCCAATGACAAATATGGAAGCTTGAGGACAAGATATTGATTGAATGCAGGTCCGGAGTGCGCTGCAGAACTGATCAGGTGGCTGCCAAGGAGGACGGTAACAACAGAACACAAACGTGTAGTTGGGGCGATGCTCTAGTTCTATGCACACAATTTCAATGGTTGGATCAGCAGGCTGAAGATCTGGACGATGTTTGGTAGCATGGGAAATGGAAGGGTGGAGGAGGAATGCCACTCCACCTCCACGTCGCACGGTATTGTTGTGACGGTCATGCCGGATAATTTTGTATTCAGCTGACGGTGTTAATATTGAACTTGTGATATCAGGAGTCAACCAGGTTTCAGTTATGCCAAAGATATCTAGTTGAGATGTGCAGAATAAGTTTTTAATCTCATCAGCCCGCTTCAGCCAGCTGCATGCGTTAACTGTGCAGATCCTGATACTCGACGGAGACTTCATATCAGGAATACAAGGTGAAAAGTTGAAAGTCAAAGGGGGCGGTTGGAATGGTGGAGCAAGAGGGTTCAGTGCGGTCACTTGCGATTGTCGGCCGGGAGAGAACGGGGCTGCATTTGGGTGCGGTCACTTGCGATTGTCGGCCGGGAGAGAACGGGGCTGCATTTGGGATGTGCGGTTTGCTGTGTGCGCTGTAGTTGTATGTTGTATGTGTATGCTTCTCTCATATACATGTACGCTGTCATTTTCACGCTATAACTACCTGGTTGTTTTAGTGTTAGTTATTCATTCGTTGTTCATTATTATTAGTCGATTGAAGTGAAATATGCTGTTGAGAATAAATAGTTGTCCTCGTGCCGTGTGGGGTCGTTCGTTCCTGACACTTTAGAGAACCAAAGAGTTCGCAGAGGCGCACTTGCGCCATTTCTGGTGTATAATACTGATCATTCCTTTACACATTCTCATCCTCTACTGATGAGCTCCGGCGGGAAGCGAAACAGCTGCCTAGAGGCGTGGAGCAATATTATCTCTCAACGGAAGTGTCCTTGTTGGTGTCTGTATGGTTCGGCTGAAAGCGAGTGGTTGTGATGAGTTGGGACTAATTTGGAAATACGGCCGAAAGCTCTGTCGCAATATTTAGTTCTAAAGGAAAAGGACATATGGATCCGAGTTAAGAGTAACTCTCCATCACTGTAACCAGATACTATAATTAATATTATTATTCGCATTTGATAACCGCAATCAATAAAACTAGCTGAACCGACATTTGTGTACTTTATTCATGCAATGTATAATGCTTGGGTTGAAATTGTTCAAGTAACGCGTCGTGTTTAGTGCGGCCAAGCTTGGCCGTTAATGTTCTAGGTGTAATGTACTGCTGTTATGTGTTATCACGTTGTCTTTCCTTCCTTTTTCCTTTGTTCATTTCTCGCTTTGATTGTTAAAATTCACACTTGTAAAATTCACTGTTGTTGCTTTTAGTGTTATTTCTCTAACTTAGATTTTCTATAATAGTTCAATTTTTGTTTCAGTGTCCTTTAGTTCAACGACGATTCCTGATGAGTGTTGTACGAAAACTTGTTTGAATCCATATTTTTTCCCTACACCATTTCTTCATATTTTCATCGTTTTATTGCACATCGTCTCCACCGTTTTACATTGCATGAATAAAGTACACAAATGTCGGTTCAGCTAGTTTTATTGATTGCGGTTATCAAATTATTGTCTCCTCGCCGTGTGTTTAAATTATTCTCATTATTTGCATTTTCGCATCATCGTAAATCAAATGATTGATGATTTCGCTTATGCTGAGTGGTGGTAAACAGAAATCAAATATGGAATATGCTGATGTCAAGGCAGAAAATAACATGAAGGACGGAAAAAAGAAAACAGGATAAGTATGGATATCGAATGCGATACGTTATGATAGTTGTTGAATGTTGATATTGTGATAGATGGTGTGATTCTATTGCTACAGTTTAAATACTGAGGGAGTTGATGATCATAATGATATTATGGTATTCGAGTAATAATATTGACAGTTCGCATTTCACTCATTGCATGAGGTCAACGCATCTGTTAACAATTTCGAGCCAAGCAGCTCTATCAGAAGTAGATTGCACAGCATCCAGAAGCGACAGATTAATGCATTGTAAGTCTTTCTTGACAACGTCGATCCATCTCAGACATTGTCGTCCTTGGGGTCGTCGTATGTCTGTTGTGTTGATTGACATTAGGAGGGCTTGGAAAGAGGACGATTCTTCGCCTTCCCTCACTACATGGCCGAACCACAGCAGTCTCCCTTGCCTGCAGACTTGGGATAGTGGGGTCTGCTCGGTTCTGGCATACAGCGCTGTGTTCGAGATTCGTTGTGGGTACGTGATACCAATGATGGTACGTAGTTTCTTCCGGTGCCATACATTGACGACGTCGGTTAATGTTTGCGATAGGGTCCAAAGCGCACAATTATACAGCAAGACAGGCAATATCAGGCAGGAAAACATACACAGCCTGGAATTCAGGTTGTGGCGTTTCCATGGAATGCTTGCAAATTCCCGATTTGCAGCAGACACTCTGGCTGCTATGTCTTCTGCTGTGCCTAGCATACTCCCCAGCAGCTTCACCGATTTCCAGGAATCATCTTCCTTGGTCACAGTGAAATATTGAGTTTTTGCCACGTTCAGCTTCAGATTGTCATCCGAGAAAATGGGTTCACACACACGGACGGTTTCTTCCACAGATGATCGCTCGTTCTGATGGGCAGTGGTGTCGTCTGCGTATTGTGTGAAAGTTGCTGGTCGGTCTGACGCGGGTAGAGCTTGCTCTCGGATCTTACGCATGGAACCTTCGGCGTAAGTTATAAACATTATTGGTGACATTGGGTCACCCTGGACGACGCCGATGTTCGTTGGAAATGGTTTGCTTAGTTGTTTACCAAGCTTCGTGCGGGCTGTTGTGTTTGATACTAGGACTGCAGTGGTGGACGTTGGTGCGCAAGCAGTGGCTAATCTCTCCAGAGCAACCTGACGAATGACAGTGTCAAACGCACCGCTGAAGTCCAATAGTGCCGATGAATAGGACCAGTCGCCAAGTAGTGCGCGCTCACACATCGTCCTGGTGAAAATGACACCATCCGTGGTCGATCTGCCAGGGCGGAAACCAGCTTGGCTCTCTGCCACATATGACTGCACATGGAGTGTGTGTCGTCGGGTGAGTATTGACGTCAAGATCTTACGAGCGACGGAAAGGAGCATAACGGGGCGGTAGCTTTTTGGATGTCCTAGAGGCTTTGTAGATGGGAACGATGAGGCCGCAGCACATGTGGTCAGGACAGTACTCTGTAGCTTGAACAGCGTTGAGGAAATTCGTCAGCCAGGGTGCGAAAAGGTTTTTAGCTGACTTCAAAGCATCAGTACTGATACCATCAGGACCGACAGCACCACCAGACTTCTGCTTGATAATTGCAGACTGTACTTCTTCGATTGTGAATGGATCTTCCTCATTCGATTGCTGCCTGAGGTCGAGTGGCTGGCCATCAGTGTAAAATACCGATTCATAATATTCATTAAAGGCATTAAGATTCCATGAGATGTCTGCCATGATTCTGCCGTGTGCGTCAGCAAGACGCACAGGCGCAGCCTTCTTCCCAGAGCGTAGTTGGCGTAAGTTGTTGATGGCGTTGAAGTAGGACCGTTGGTCAGGGCGTAAAGCATCTACTTCAACAGCCTTACGTTGCCAATATTGCTCGCCCTCCTTCTGTAGTATCCTTCAAATCTCGTGGACCTTTCCAGATCTTTCAATCTTTAAAGCTTTACGTTGCTCTGGATCAGGTTCAGCGTTTATGCGGCAGTGCAGATTCTTCTGTTCAGTGGATAAGGATGCAACGCGAGGGTTCGTGCTTGCTTTCGGAGCAGAACCAGTGGGTACTTTCCCGAATGCATCCTGCGCAGCATCATGCGTAGCCCAGACGAATCCACGCCACGCCTTATCCACGAAGTCATTGTCGATGTTTGCGGAGAGTGGAAGCAGAGAAGGTAACTTCTCCTTGAAACGGTCGCAGAACAGTTTCGACGATTCAGCGGTTGGATGGTTATAGCGATTGAAAAATGGGTCTTGTTGTTTGACGGGCGGATGGACTTTAGAAAGTGCGATGCCAAGAACTGCAATAACCGGGTGATGATCAGAGCGCGTGGTGAAGCCTCCAAACGATCTTGCATCTAGAACCGCGGCCATGGTGAAACGTTTTACTATCACGTAATCTATCATATTCCGCACAGGCTTTCCATCCGCATGCACTAAACCATCAGAAAACCATGTTGAGCGATGTTGCATCCTGTGCTTGAACAGTCTGTTGGTTAGCACCAGCCGGTTGTCCTCGCAAAATTCTACAAGTCTGCTTCCATTTGAGTTTGATATAGTGTGTTTAGAGCAGCATCCAGCAGGGTTGACAGATCCCGGCCTCGAACTCCCAACTTTAGCATTCAAATCTCCTAATATCCATAATTCGTCACGGTTCTTCGTTCTCAATACAACATTGTTGAGAAGTTCGTAGAAGTTGTCAGCTTCCTGAGGGTTGACGGTGGATCGTTGAAGAGTTGGGGCATAGCAGCACACGGCCGTGACAGCTCGACTGTCAGGTCGTGGGCTGATCACCATTCATACAGATACAACTTGGTCAGAGTGGAACTGGTACGACAGAATATTATTTGAAAATTTCTTGTTGACGAGGATGGCAACGCCAGCGCGAGACGATTGACCTCCTGACCTATACAGCTTGTGGCCATCGCCGAGGGTATCAACTCCATTGCCGGCTATCCAGGTCTCCGTAATCCCAAGGATGTCGAGCTTGAAGGCCTCGAAATCTTCGGCGAGAATTTGTTTTTTGATTTTTGATTTTAGTGAACGGACGTTGAAAGTCGCAACTCTACATGACGGCGTACGACGACACTTCTGGAATATTGACTCAACTGCTTCATTATGACCTCTCATCTAATCACTGCCAGTATGCGTGGCTCCAAATTGTCCTAGGGAACAGCTACTCCTGCCAAAAAGCAGGAGCTGACGGTAGTTCAAACCGCCATCCAACCGCCATCCAACCGCCATTCGAGTAATATAAGATAGTATTTGGATGTTTGATGATATTACATTTCCAGTTGATATTGAG